TTTTGGGTTAGAATCCAAACAAAACTCAGCTGCCAAAAAGGAGAAGAAAAATTGATTGAAACCCCTAATTGCTTTACAAGTTGCTGTAATAAATTATGTATTAATGTAAATTATTCTGCGGGAAAAGAACGTAGAGGAAACTTGAGCAGAAGGATCATGCATTATGTATAAAAAGGAACTGTAAAATTAGGATAGCAGCACATTTGTGTCGCTGTAGTTAAAGTTGTGTCAGCGTTTTGGTTTTACACCCTGCTCCGTGGTTATGAGTGTGGTGGTTAAAACTCACTCTGTGTCACCAGAGGAGCACGTCAGTTGTTAAAGAAAGCTTCAACTATCCTAAAGCTGCAAGGTCCTGGTGTGTCCACGCCCTGCTCCCAGAAAACATGGAGCTCAGTGTTTGGAAACCTGGCTGCAATGGGTCCTGTTCTCTCCATGGGGCTGTGCAAATCTCTCGGGGACACTGCAAGGACAACATCCATCTCCTTGATTTTTGGAATGTGACTTCAGCCCACCAGTGCCTTGTGCCCTGGGGTTGCTCAGTGTGGTGAAGGTTGCACAGAAGAACAAGTGGATGTTGTTACGGGTTCGGGTTCACTCTTAAAAGTGAAGGTCTTGGGTTTGCTCCCCCTCATCTCAGGGTCAACGGCTCTGCCACCAGGGCTGGACAGGGCAGTGAGAAAGGATGGGGGGATACCTTAGATCACTCTTTCTAGGGCTGAATTGGAGCTAACTATGTCAGTCTTGCTTTAGAAAGCAGAAGTAGTTTAGGTTTGGGTCCCCTTGAGGCTGGGCAGCCTGTGAGCTTGCAGCTGGAACCTGACTTTCTCGCTGCTTCATGCATGGTTTGGAGGAGGACTCGAGCTCCCAATGCCATGGCCAGAGAGGGCAGGATGAGAAACTGATCCTTCCCGGGCTGTGGATAACAACCCTCATGTCCTGGGAGCTGGGAAGCTATTTCACAACCAAAGAGATGCCAGACAACTCGCTTGGTGCTGCCTCACCCTTGGGAACACAGATTTGCAGACGAAAACCTCTCAGAAGAAATTTGCTGGACGTGCTCAGGAGTGACTCAAAGAGTTAAGTTTTGCAGTTCTAGGTTGAAATCCAAAAGGAAGATGCTATTTCATCCAAGGACACTAACAGCCAAGAAGGACCTGTTCAACCTGGGGAAGAGCTCTTCATGCCACGCTTTGATTGTACTCTGGCTGCAAATGTTCTTCTGTTGCTTTTTCCAATAAGCCAAGGGGAGTTTTCCAGCAAAGCTGCTCCCTGGCGAACTGAGGGGTTCTTCTCATGGTGGGTTTTATCCTGGAACAAACCACTGCCTGGGGGTAAACCGAACTGAGGGTTGTAATGTCAGAAAATAAATACACACTGAACTGCAGCAGCATAAATGGCTCCACTGCAATTACCGTTATCAGTGTGTTCAGGATGGGAATCTTAGCCTGAAAAAACTGAACAAAACCAGCCACTTTTCCTCAGTGAGGTTTCCCAGAGTACTTTAATTACACCCTCAACCCTCAGACTACCCCATGCTCAATTTGTTTTGGGGCAAACAATTTTCTGTTTAAGCTGAAAAAAACCACCCTTTTTTTCTGGTAGTTTGGGGCCAGTTCAGGGGGGCTCAGGGGAGGGTACGGCTGTGCCAGGGTCTTCTCCCTGCCCTGCCAAAAAAACAAGGTACAAGAGGAAAAGCAAATAATCCCAAGATGGGGATAAGAGGGAGATTACAGTTTTCTTTGCAAGGTTGGGAAGATTTATAGCTGTTTGTGCTGAAGCAGGGCGTGAAAGTGGAAGGTGTCCCGTATCCTCCTCACCAAGACCTTTTGTACAACGTGATGTCTCCGGCCAGAGGATTGTGGCAGCTTGCCATGAAAAAATCAGCTGCTATTTCTGTTTCTTTTGTCTGCTGACTTGACCCAAGAAACCTCTCTGCTGGCAGCACAATAAGGAGGGGAAAATAATAAAGATCTGAGCATAGATGTAATTGTTTAGCGCAGATTTCTCACTTTTCATTGTGTTTAGTAAAATGAGGATGGCGACAGTTAAAGTGCCGTGTGGTTATTGAGGACAGAGCCAGGCTGTTTGTGGCCAGAGCTGTCATGACAGCAGCTGGATGCAGGGAGAAATAAGAAAACTAGCCAAAAGTGGTGTGCAGGGCCCAAAACCTCACCTCCTGACTTAAAACTGAGCCCTGGTCGGAAGCATCCTGCACTCTTGCATCTTCCCTCTCAAGCTGGTACCCAAAGCTGCAGGCTCGGCTTTTAATTAATCTTTCAGTTGCTAGAGTGGAGAAAAAAACCCTGAAAAATGCTGCACCATCTAGATATGATGGTATGAAACTTCACCGTGACAGCCCTCATGGTTTTGCCTCTGTTTGCAGCAGCCGAGGTCAAAACCAGCCCCCAGAGAAGGTCTGCTGGGTGATCACTTTTTTCCACTGCAGCAGCCGATGGGGTTGTCCTGCCTTGGTTTTCCTGTCAAGCATCAACAGTGTCTCTGCAGTGAGCTTCGTTCCCCTGGGCTGGGGAGCCAGGCCTTGCCCATCCACTGCTTTTTGCTGTTATCATCAGTGGGACCCTGTGGGACCATCACCCTCAATCCTCTCTTTTGACACGGTCATCAGTGGGATTTTTGCTTTGCAGTTTTCCCACGCAGAGCTGCTCGTAGCCGTAAACGTTTGAGGCTGCAGAGTTTGGGCCCAGGCAATGCAAAACCCACCTGAGGAAAGGAACATCTCTGTGCCCATCCTGGGACCATGCGACAGGGCACTTTTCCTCTGCTTCTCTGGGGGACTGTTGGTGCACACCCAGTCTGTTCCTTTAGGTGAACGCTTCGGGGTTATGGTTATTACAGAAAGGCAAACAATGGGCTGTGCCACGTACAGCTGGGATTTTGAAGGCAACCCTGAGAGATGCCACAGCCTCCAGGTGGCCCCAGGTTTGGGGGATGGAGGGGAGATGGGTGATGAGCCTTAAAACGGGGGCCAAAGAGCATCTTGTGAAGAACTGCTGGAGGTTTATGATGCATCTGTTCCACCATCAGCCATCTTAGAGCTTGTGATGTGCACCAAAAGGAAGTTTTCATTTGGATCTTTGATTTGGGAGAGATGCTTGGAGCCTCGGTGAGAACAGAGTTTTATTGGCTTCATTTCTTCCTATTTGGGAGGGCTGAGAGCAGAACAAGGGGTGTCGGGATGGCTTTTGGTTTCTCTCTTATGACCTTGTTGGTATTTCCTTGCTACGACAGGCTGTTCAGTGCCCAAGGTGTGCTCCCCTTTCTGTTAGGACCATCCCAACTGCCCTCTCTGAGCAGCTCCTCGCTGGTGTTTCGTCCATCTCACCCCAGATTTGTGCTCTTCGCTTCCAGTTTTTATGAACCTCTCAGGCAATTGTGGTGCTCAGGAGAAGCTACAGATCTGAGACAGGATTTAGCACAGAGATAAGTCGACGACCGTGTCACTTCATAATGCTGAATTTCCCTTCACCAGTGTAATCTGGATGTTCAAAGGCATGTTTTTATCTTCTTCTGGCAGTTCTGCTCCCGCTGCCATTGTCACTTTGTCTCTCTCTCTCCATCCATGCAGCAGCCAACGCTCCGCTGGCAGTTCAAAAACCCATATTCCAAGAGTTAATTAATCTGTACTGGAAGACGTCCCATCTGCTACTCTTTTTGTTTACGGACGTAGAAAGCCAATCGCAGAATTAATTAACGCTAATGCCCGCGTGTGTGTTTTTCTCTTTCTCCTTTCTGAACCAGAAAATGACAGATGGAGAGATCTCAGCAGGAAATTTCCACTCCAGCTCGAGCAGCCGGGCACCAGCATCTGGGACTGCTTGTCGGACAAGGGCGAGGATGGCTCGCGCTGGCCCAGGGACGCGGCCAGCACCTGCTCCATCACCAACCTCATCAAAGACCTCAGCCTCAGCGACCCCCACGGCAACGCCTCCTCGGCTCCCCCCAGCAAGCGCCAGTGCCGCTCCCTCTCCTTCTCGGATGAGATGTCCAGCTGCGGGACCTCCTGGAGACCCTTGGGCTCCAAGGTGTGGACCCCGGTGGAGAAGCGGCGATGCTACAGCGGGGGCAGCGTGCAGCGCTACTCCAACGGCTGCACCACCGTGCAGAGGAGCTCCAGCTTCAGCCTCCCCTCGCGATCCCACCCTTTCTCCTGCGAGCATCGGAGCACTGCCCGCCGTCGGCGCGCAGCACGCCCGCCTCCACGCCCCAGCTGGGCCGGCGTGCCGGGGGGCTCTCCCGGAGCCGCTCGCAGCCCTGCGTCCTCAACGACAAGAAGGTCGGCGTCAAGCGCCGGAGGCCGGAGGAGGTGCAGGAGGAGAGGCCCTCGCTGGACCTCGCCAAGATGACCCAGGTAAGAGGCGCCGTCCCTGCCAGGTGATGTTCTCAGCTTTGCTGAAAAATCCTCTGGGGTCGTGAAGAGGGAGCAGCTCTGCTCTGGGGACAGGGTGGGAGAGGTGGGGTGTTCAGCCTGGAGAAGAGGAGGCTCCAGGGAGACCTTAGAGCACCTTCCAGTGCCTGAAGGGGCTCCAGAAAAGCTGGGGAGGGGCTTGGGACAAGGGCAGGAAAAAACGGGGCAAGGGGAAATGGTTTCAAACTGGAAGAGGGGAGATTTAGGTGAGACATGAGGAGGAAATTCTTTGCTGTGAGGGTGGTGAGAGCCTGGCCCAGGTTGCCCAGGGAAGCTGTGGCTGCCCCATCCCTGGCAGTGTTGAAGGGCAGGTTGGATGGGGCTTGGAGCAGCCTGGGCTGGTGGGAGGTGTCCCTGCCCATGCAGGGGGTTGGGACTGGATGATCTTTAAGGTCCCTTCCAAGCTAAACCAGTCTGGGATTCCCTAATTCCCCTGAGGATCAGTAACGCAGCCTGTGTTACTTGGTGACCCTCAAGCATGACATCAGACAAAAATAGCTGTGGGGGTGGTTCATCCTCTGCATGACCCAATAAGGGAAGGTCCCAGAGCCCCCCACTGCGAGGCAGGAGCACTGCAGGAACAGGGAAGGGGTTGCCTTTGTGCAGCATCTCTTCAGGTGCTGGTGGGACCCCTCTCCCATCCCCTCCTCGCCTGCCAGTCCACGCTGGGTGGCCAGGGCCACTGCCCAATGGTTGCCACCAGAACCAACCAACACCACCATCACCAGGGAATGGTGCTACTGGGATCCAGCCCGAGGCACATCCCATGGAGCATCCTCCAGGGAGGAAACCCCAGCCGGGTCCAGGTGCCCACTGCAGCCGATGGGATTCCTGAGGCAGGGATGAGTTTGGAGCAGCAGAGTGGGAAGGAAGCAAAGGCTGGAGCTGTGCAAGGACCAGGGTTTCTGTAGCTGTTGAGTTCTGAGCAGCACCCTGGCAGGCTGCTCTCGCATGGGAGGACTGGCACAGAGGGATGAGCAGGATTCGGCAAGTCTGGGAGAGCATTCTTGCCTGTGGTGGGGCCCAGTCAGAGCCCCCCCCCAGGGTGGGAATGCCATGAAAACCAACTAATTCCTCATGGGCAGTAGGCAATGGGGGATAATCCTGTTTGAGAAAACCCTGCAGGTTTGGGTGTTCCCCCAGGCTGCTTTTGATGCCTCGCTAGGAACGAGACATTAGGTGAGAGCAGATGAAGAGCTGAGGTGCAGGCAGGGTGTTGGCTTGGCTGCACGTGTCCTCGAGTCCAGCTGTGTATGGGGTGGAAATGGCTCATGTGCAATGGCCTGAGTGACTCAAAGCAGAGAAGAGCCAGTGTCCAGGGAGGGCTTTCCAGTAGCCCTCAAAGAATTGACTTTACAGATGGGGAGATGGAGGCACAGGTCAGGCTGTGAGTCCCTGGGTGCTGATGGCAGAGCTGGGGACCCAGCCTGGGGTGCTGGTGATGGATCAGCATTTGGCTCTGGCAGTAGATTGGTTAATTTTTTGCTCATGCTGGTAAACACATGTGTTTATAGGCCTGAAACTCGGTACCATAATCAAAATAAAAATAATTTGACCTAAAAGAAATGTTTTCTTCATACCAGGAGGGATATTTAGGCCAAGCAGGAGGGGAGGGAGCCACTCCTGGAAGCAATTACATGGCCACATAACTGGGCTAATTAAGAAAGAGACCTAAATGTTAAAAGTTCTGGGAAAGAAACTACTTGGGAAAACATTGCCTTTAGTTCTGCAGAATCCTGGTTTTGTCTCTTCTCCCTGCAATTCCCATAGCTCAGAGAGGGGAGGTGAGCTCAGAGAAGTCTCCTTATTTACTCATACGGCACCAGAGCAGAGAGGATTCAGCTTTGGGCAGAAACCCAGCTGTGGAGACGTGGTGGTCGTTGAAATAGGAACAATTTTTAGAAGCAACAGCACCAGGAAAATCCTTCTGCTGTTTCTAAACAAGATCCGCCCTCTGAAATGCTGATGGTCGTTTTGGCAGCATGTTAATTAATCTCATGGCAGCACACTCTGCTTCCTAGGTACAGTGCTCAGGGTCTCGCAGCTCTGGGCACCAAGCCCCTTCCTGCAGGCTGTGATCAGAAATGGTTGGGATTGGATTTTTCCATGAATTGGGATGTTTCTTAAAGAGCTGAGTTTCTTCTTCTGATGTGGTCGTGCCTCAAGTATTTGGGAGATGAGCAGTGTTTAAGAGTGCTGGGAGGTGGCTTGCACCTCAGCTGTACTCCCAGTTGGGCTTCTTTGGGCAGGAGCGGGTGGTTCCACCCTTTGCAAGGCACTTGGAGAAGGTGTCTGGGCATATTAAGTGAGAAAACTGAACTTTCTCAACAAACGGAGTCTGCCAGAGATGCTGTGTGGTGGAGGGACACCTGCTTGCTCTTCCTCTCCCATGGTCTGGTGTGGTTCTTCTCTGGAGGACACATTGCTATGTGGTGACCTGGGGACCTGCCATCTCCCACCTCCATGCCTGATGCTTTCCATCAGCTCCGTGTGAACATTTCCTGCAGGATTTGGGGTGCTGTGTGCTGGAATGCCTTGCAGCAGCCTCTGGCTTCAGTGGCTTGGCTGAGTCACCTTCAGGAAGCCGTGGGCCAGCTCTGATGCTGGTGTCTGGGTGCTGGCTGAGGACGTGGCTTTCCTTCACCCAGGCTCTGGGGAGCTGCAGGGGACACAACCCAGGTTGGTCACACCGACGAGAGCTGCCACCAGTGAGAAGCTGAAATCTCCCCCAGCAGTGGCAAAACGAGACTTCACTATCTCTGGCCCAGTCTGCTTCCTGTGTTGTAAAATGTTGATATGGTTGGTACTGAGAGATCTTAATTTGAGAGATCTCCTAACTCAGCTACCCTTTTAGCAGAGGGTTTTTTAAGTGAATCATATATATAAATATATATATAACATTTTTACAAGTCTAATGAGGGGTGTTCAGCCTGGAGAAAAGGAGGCTGAGGGGAGACCTTCTCATTCTCTACAACTCCCTGAAAGGAGGTTGGAGTGAGGTGGGTGTTGCTCTCCTCTCCCAAGTACCAAGTGATAGAACAAGAGGAAATGGTCTCAAGTTGTGCCAGGGTAGGTTTAGATTAGATATTAGAAGAAACCAGGAACAGGCTGCTCAGGGAGGGGGTTGAATCATCAGCCCTGGTGGAGGTGTTTAAAAGACTTGTAGATGTGGTGCTGAGTGGCATGGTTTAACACTGGACTTGGTAGAGTTGGGTTAATGGTTGAACTTGATGCTTTTAGAAGTATTTTCCAACCAGAATGATTCTGTGATATATACAGGTATTAGCTGAATGCCAGCTGTGGTCCCTGCAGCACTAACCCCAAGCAGGGGTAGCTCTGGATGGAATTGGAGGATGGTCTCATAGTATTTGGAAATACAACTTACTGTTTTAAGAAAGGCACAAACAACTTTGTGGCCTGTAGGCCATATAGCCCCACTGGTGATAACTGTCAGACATGGTGAGAGATAGTGGTTCCTGCCCATTGTAAAGGCCCTGGTAGGATCTGTGCACTGGTAAAGACTAGGGGTGGTGCCAGTGACCCACTCCTGATGGCTTCACAAGGTTTTGGCTTCTTCGTGAGCCTTCGAGGCATTTGTAGTTTGAAGGGCTACATCTGTCACAACAAAACGTTTCCTCTACTTCTTCTACTGATGTTGGATGGGGCTCTGAGCAACCTGGTCTAGTGGGAGGTGTCCCTGCCCATGGCAGGGGGGTTGGAACTAGATGGTCTTTAAGGTCCCTTCCAACCCAAACCATTCTATGGTTCTGTGATTCTCCTCCTGAGTTTTCTCTGTTGACTTTCCTGCAAGAGTTGTAACCATGAACTCTGAGGAGTCCCAGAGAGCTGGCAAACTACTTCTTCTCCTCCATTAAGGTCCTTGTTGTGTAGTGTGGCAAATAGTGTATGGGACTGAGAGTAGCTGCTGTAGAATAAATAAGGCAATTAAAATATTAATTATATCCTTTCATCTCTCCTGGGTTATGGACAGCTTTCCAGGGTCATGAATTCACCACCTGCTCTCTGCCCCACAGCTGGGCTGTGAAGGATGGGCAAGAGGGGCCTGGCAGCCATGGACACCAGCTTAGAAGGTGGTGAGGATGAAGCACTTGGTGTTCTTGATGAGGAAGAGAGAAGACTTTGTGCCTGAAAGGGCTGTGATGGGAGGGTGGAGCCAGGCACAATGGGACTTGTCATGTTGCTTGCTGGCTGCCATGGACAGCTGGTGCCATTCATGGGGTGACTTCACTGTCCTCTCAGGAGCACGTGCCTTAGCAGGACGGAGTCATCTGCTCCAGGAGTCACCAGAGCACCTTCCTGAAATGGGGATGGGTGGTTCTTGTGTTTTTCAGGATTAAAATCAGCTTCAGCCTGGGCTGGAGATCCTGAGGAGAAGGGTGTGTAATGGGACTCTCCTGATGGTTGGTAGTCAGGCTGCCCCCTGCTTTGTTTTCCCTTCCAAACTAAGGAATGATGGCAGTTTCCACGAGGATCCAGGCACAAAGGAACTCTTCCACTCCCAAAACTGAAGTAAACAACCCACCAGCTTGGAAATGTTTCAGGCTGGTCTTGACCCTGAGTGGGGTTCAAACTGCAGGATGCAGGAGAAGTGACCTCTTGTCTCCGACCACCCAGCTCTTCCCTCAAGGGGTAAAATTCTCTGTATTTTCACAGAAGAAGATTTTCTGTTTAAATTTTGGCAGCTTTCAGGCTGGCTGGTGAGGGCAGGAGAGGTGGCAGAGATCTCAGCTGGCGTCAGCACCCACTTGAGCCAGGGGCAAATATTGCCAAAAGGTAGCAAGAGGCCAAAAAACTGGAGGTTTTAAATTCCAGACGTATCCCAGGAAATAGTTTGCTGTTGATGTCACTTCTGAGACAGATTCCAGCTTCCAAGCCCCAGTGTTTTTTAAATAAACACAAAGGAGAGCCTGCAGAGGTCAGTTTGTGGCTTGGTGGGAAAAAGCCTTGGGTTCAGGATCAAAAGAAAGTGACTTGGTGTGGAGGGCATGGAGGACCTGGGAGGCTGGTTGCTTTTAACTTTGGTCAGACTATGACACTTCTTTACTCATTGCCCCTTAATTTTTTTTATTTTTTTTTAATGTAAAACCTCAAATAGTCAAAATTGTCAATATTGGCAATTAGATTCATAATGATGTTTACTCCTGGCATGAGCTGTTAATGGGTTTTTTTCCCTCCTGGTTCCTTTGGCAAACAAGTCTCCATACTCACAGAAGTGCAGCAAACCTTGCCTTGGTTGGTGTCCCCAAGGGAAGTGACACTTGTTGAGGCTGCCCACTGGTGTGCAAGCCCACATTGCTGGTGTCCTCCTGCCTGTGATGCCAGGGAGGATGCTTGTATGCTGTGAGGAACTGAAACATTCCTGTTGATTTCAGAGATGGTTTGCTTCAGTTCTTCCCTCTGCTGTACTAAAATGTAAATCTTTTGATGGGCATCATAGCTTGACCTGGTCTAGGAGTTTTCTCAGGCCCAACTGTATATATTTTCATGTATAGATGGCAATACATTAAGAGGAATGGGTTCTTTTGAAGTGATGGCATTGGGCTGGGCCTCATATGTGTCAGCTCCTCTGCAAATGTCCTTCAAGCAGGATTTCCCTGCCTCAGTTTCCCGAATAGAAAAATGAAGGCAATGCATTTTTTCACCTACCCTTGTCCATAAGCTCCAGAGGCCGTACATGCTCAGGTGAGCTGTAATTTCTGTGCTCCCCACAGGAATAAAAACCTGCTCTTGGCTGTTGGCTCATATCACTTTCAGAAGAGTGTGCAAAAAAGATCCATCTCCTTATAAAAGACTGATGTGTTGGTACAGCCCTGGAGTGACCATTTCAGGCAAGGTACTTTGGTGCAGTCAGAGGACTCTTGCAGGAGGTGATTTATTGTAGCAGGGTCTATTTTAGTTACTAGACAGAGCTTTTAATAGCAATAACATGCAGTGACATCCATTGTTTTGGTTTTATACAGTTGAAATGGGCCCATCTGCCTCGGTTAGAAATTTGTGACTCACCAAACACAATGGGCTGAAAATAAATTCAGCCAGGGAAGCAGAAACAGGCCGTGCCTGGGGACGTGGGCATTGCTGTCATTAAATCACTCTACCAGCATGGGCTGGACTTGTGTGCATGGACAGGCAGCATCCCCCACCCCTGCAAGGGGCTTCCAAGTGCCAAAGGGCCTCGTGGTACCCAGCGATTGTGCCCTGGCACCTCCTGCTCCTGGCTCCATCCCCTGCTCCCAGCTCCATCCCCTGCTCCCAGCTCCATCTCCCCATGGGCCCAGGGATGCACAGTTGGGTTTTGTACCTTTGTTCACACTCACATGGGAGGATAGGGCTGGAAATGCAAACAAAGCTTGGCAGTGTCTGACCCAGAGACACACAAAATCCAATTGTGTCCCCAAGACAGGCATCTGATTCCTGTGTGCTCTTTAACCCTCTCGTGCCCGGGCTCATACCCTGCAGGGACCCAAAGAGCAGAGAGATTGGTTTCAAACTGGAAGAGGGGAGATTTAGGTGAGACATTAGGAAGAAATTCTTTGCTGTGTGGGTGGTGAGACCCTGGCCCAGGTTGCCCAGAGAAGCTGTGGCTGCCCCATCCCTAGAAGTGTTCAAGGGCAGGTTGGATGACGCTTGGAGCAAACTGGGCTGGTGGGAGGTGTCCCTGCCCATGCAGGGGGGTTGGAATTAGATGATCTTAAAGGTCCCTTCCAACCCAAACCAGTCTGGGATTTTGTGATTGCCTGGAACATGGGATTGCTGCAGCTTTAGGTAGAGGCAGGGGAAGATAAACCAGCACCTCAAATGGTCAGAAACGGGATATTGCTGTTATGAGCAAAGTGTTTTGGGTGGAAGGCACGTTACTGATGCTTGCTGGGAGAAGTCAGGATGGCCAGGAGCATCTCCCAAAAGCTGATCAGATCCAGACGGGGGTCGGAATTCCTGGTTTCCTTGAGACCAACAGCAGCTGGGATGCCTGACACCTTTCTCGGGCTGGTGCTGAAGGACGAGGTTGTGGAGAGGCTGGGAGGGGGCCTGGGGCTGCCTGGCCATGGGGAACAAGCACCACATTGTGCCACCAAAACTGCTCTTTGGCCAGTGTCAATAGACGACCTGACTGCCCGTTTTTGCCAGCTCAGCACTTCAGCACGTGCAAAATTCACCCAATAAATAAAAAATGAGCAAAAGAACTCATGATGGGTAGAGAACAGACGCTGCATTGATGGTTGTGGCTGATCCACCTTGGCTCTACAGCCAGTGCAGGTGATGCTGGCCACCATCCTGGGAGGACCCTCCCCCAAAACGTCCCTCCCCACACCCTTACGGGGTGTGTGGCAGCTGTGCCCCCCGCTGGGGAGGTGAGGCTTGGGATTTTGTGGCACCTGAAGCCTGTGAGAACTTGCTTCCCAAGCCAAGCTCCAGCAAACCTGCGTCAGAGGGAGCGCCTGTGCCCGGCCCCCGCACATGGGCCTCCTCCAGCAGCCGCCCCGGCAGCACTGGGAGCTGCTGGGCCCTCCGGAGGGTTTTTCCATCCTCTGACAGGGAAGGTAAAAATACTACCTGGAACAACTGAAGGCTGTAGGTGGGAAACGTTGGGTGGAAGCAAGTGTGGGTTTGAGCAGGGAAAATGAGGCTCTTGGCTTGATCATCTTGCCAAAGTCTAATAAAATGCAAAGTTTCCCTGGAATTCAAGTACATTCATGGCTGTTCTCTGAGGCATGTCCAAGCTTGGAAGACTTTTTGTTCAGATGGGAAGAGTGTGCCGTGGACCTGTTTAGTTACCCTTCAGATTGCATCCTCCTTCATTCATCCTCACAAGCATTGTCCATCTCCCACTGCAAAGCACTCTAGAGCATCTTCCATCCTCACAGGATGTTCTTGTCCATCTGCAGCCACCCAGCACTCCTGGGCCTGGGTACCAAGCCCAGGGAAGCACCAGAGATGAGCTTGATTAGCAGGAGAAAACTGAACACTCCCAGAAGTGCCAGAGTTTTGTTTGTAGAAGGGATTTGCACTTCTGAGAGGGCTGTTGACTTCCAGCAGACTTAGGCTTTCAAGTGCCTAAATCACTGTTGTAAATATGCTTGCAAACTTTTCTAAGTACTTAGAAAATATTTCTCCCATGTCCTCAGGCCTTCTCCAAGTGCAGTGGTAATTACAAGTTGTCCATTAACCACAAGGTGCAGATCTGTGCTTGAAGCTGTTATGTGTTCAGGCCCTAGAAGGCAGCCCGTGTGGAGAGGCACAGCTTGCATTTGAAAAACAGGAGAAGGATGATGTGGGGACTGGTGCAGTTGGGTTTTTAAAGGACAAATACCTGTATTTTCACATGGGCTAGTGGGATTTTGGAAGGTTTCAGAAACTGAAGGCCATGTGAAATGTAGTTTCCCCAGCCTGGACACTGGCCATCTCCTCCTGGGGCAGCTGGAACTTCTTTCAGACACACCAGCCTCTTTGTCATCTCCTGCAACAACTGCTTTTACTGTGGTATGTCTTCCTAGTATCTAATCTACATCTGCCCTGAATGAGGATACATTTACCTTAGAGAACAGAAATTCTTTGCTGTGAGGGAGGTGAGACCCTGGTCCAGGTTGCCCAGAGAAGCTGTCGCTGCCCCATCCCTGGCAGTGTTGAAGGGCAGGTTGGATGGGGCTCTGAGCAACCTGGGCTGGTGGGAGGTGTCCCTGCCCATGCAGGGGGGTTGGAGCTAGAGGATCTTAAAGGTTCCTTCCAACCCAAATCAGTCTGTGATTTTCTGCAAACAGCTCTGTACTGCCTCACAGGGCGTAGGGGTGGAGGTGGTGGTGGAACCAATCCAGCCTGTGGTGGGGGTATTTTTGATGCTTATCCCCCATTGCAAGAGCTGTCATGGATGGGGAGGTGGGGCTGCCCAGCTACTGGGGACCAGGCAGCTGCGCGTGGGGCGTTTCTGCTGATCCACTTGCTTCCTGCTGGGGGGTCAGGAGAGTCAGGAGGACTCTCAGCTCCCCTAGTGTAGCTTCTAGCCCATCACAGCTCCAGGATTCCCTCCAGTCCCTGCCCCCACACCTGTCTCAGCTGCCTCTTTGCCTTTGCAGAACCGCGAGACATTCAACAGCCTGACCAGCCTTAGTGCCGGGGCCGAGGATGGTGCCCAGCGGCTCCCCGGCCCCCAGCCATGGACCACGGCCCCCAGCTCCCCGGAGGTGATGCCGGGCAGGACCCCTGCCTGCACCCCAGTGCCAGAGCCACCACCTTCCCGAGCTGAGGAGTGCCGGACCAGCCGGGATGACCTCTCCTGTGAGGAGGAGGAGGAGGGCGGCGGGAAGGAGGAGGGCGGGATGGCGTGGCGAAGCGGCGGGACGAGCGCCGAGAGCGTGTTCCAGCTGGATGGAGAGATAGACATCGAGCAGATAGAAAACAACTGAGGAGGGAGCGGGGTCCTCTCCCCGCCAGGGTCGGGGGGCTCCCCGCTGCCAGTGCTGGGGTCCTGCCCCCACGCTCTCCTCTGGCCAGCTGGAGGGGACAAAGCAGCTTTGCCAAAATTTCATCAGGTATTTGGAGCAATCCGCGTGCGTGTGAATCTTGAAATCGTTTGTTAACTACTGTAGCCAGAGCTCAGCAGCCAGAGGGAACTGCCTGTCCCGCTGGGAAAACCAGGCGCAGGGAAGGCCAGAAAACTCGCCTTCAGGGAGGAAATGGCTTTGGCAAACGTGGGGTTGCAGCTGATGGGGCTGCCAGGCTCCCCTGCCTCCTGCCTGCGCTTGTTCAAAGGGGATGCACAAGGAGAAACCTTGGCCTGTGGGACTGGAAAAAGTGTGGGGGGGAAAACCAGAATATTGGGGTTTGCAACCCGAGTCAGGGCTGCAGGGGCGGCTGCAGCTCCTCTTCTCTGGCCGCATCCCGCTAGGCTCCAGCACCCGCCTCACTCCCCAGGTCCCTGGCAGGGGGAAATCACAAGTGAAGTGTTTTGCTTTGATGTAACAATGGCAAGAGCTGGATTTTTTTACTTTTTTTCCTTTTTTTTTACTTTTCCTGGTGAGGAATTAAAGGGACTCCCGGCCCGCACAGGACAGCGTCCACAGCAGCGCTCGGTGGGCGCTGCCCGAGGATGCTCCAGTCTTCCCTATGTTTTGTTTTTTTCCCTTTCCAATCCCTTCTCTCCACCCCATCAGGAAGACGCCCCCCGATCGGGCTCAGTGCCACCCTCCCCGAGGTTCCCAACCCCCAGTTCTGAGCAGGGCTGGGCCGTGCACCCCTTGCCCAGCAGCCCTGCCCTCTGTGCTGCCCAGGGCACACCTGCCACCCTGGGGATGTGGCTCTGTCTTACTGTGAAGGGCTGCACGCCCCAGGCCTGCCGCAGGGTTACTTGACACAAGTCAGCTGGAGAAAGGCTGAAAATCCAGGTAGCAGCACTGAAAGCTTTTCCTGTGCCTTGTCAGAAGCACAGATAAAGTGGTGACCCTCACGTTTGTATGATAGGAATCCTATTTTGGTAAAAATAAGCTGTCCGTTGACCAGCAGGTTTAGAAGGACACGTTTGTTTTTGTGGGGTTTTTTTTTCCCCCTCTTTTTTAATTTTTAGTTGGTTTAAAGCTCCAGGAAAGCTCTGAGTGGCTCCCAGTATCTTTTGCAGGTTCCCTCAAGCTCAGGGTTTAACTTCCCAAGCTGTGTAAAAGTGAGAAAGGAAAACAAAAAACCCAAGAAAGTCACCGATACCAACGGCAGTTGAAGACGTGACGTTTTTAACAGGGCTCAGCACCCACCCCTGGCAAAGCTTTTGGAGCCTGTAACTCAGCGAGGGCTGAGAGCCACTCGAGCAGGTTTTACTCATCATTTCTGGTTACGTTAGTGCACTTTTTTCTGCGGTGGCTGGGGATGTGTCTCCCCTCCCCGTGGAACCCCTCAGCTGTTCTATAGCTTTACCCCCAGCCTGGCACCGCGGTGGCCACAGCCGCTCCCTCCGGGCCGGGTGCTGGCAGGCAGAGCCAGCCCCAAGGATTTTTTGGGAAGGGATGGCAGGGATGGCTTTTAATTTTGGAGAACCCTCCAGCTCTTCTAAAGTGTCGCTTGATGCATCGCGTAAGAGAAGATAGATCCTGGCTTCGGTTTTAGCCCCTCTGGAGTGGAAGGTGCTGCTGGTTCTTGGCTTTGAGTCTTCCTGATGCTTGATCCTCCCCCTGCACTGACACGTCCCCACTCTTGGGGCACACAGCTCCTGCTGGCCATGGGCACCTCCTCAGCTGCCAGGCTCCAGACTGACTGAAAAAGGGCAAATTCACCCAAATCCATGTCCAGCTGCTGCCATAGAGCTCCAGGTGGGCTCAGCACCGGGGGGGGGGCTGTAATTCCTAAGGGCTTCTGTTTTCTTTCCAAGGGCTGCTACTGGTGCCATGCTAACCCCCCTGGTAGGAAGGTGACCAGTGGACCACTACCCAGCTGTACTCGCCGTAGCATTCAGTTTACACACAGCACAACCTGTTTGCCTTACTAGAGATGCTTCTCCAATGAGTCATGGCCTTATCCTGGGCACGTTAGCGTAGGCACAGACTACAGTTAGCGGCGGTTTTGAGGCCACGGTGGGGTTCTGTTGGGTATTTCCTTGCTGGGTTTGTATGATTTCATGTACTTATTCTCAGTTTAAGAAAGCCTTACTTTTTACATTTTTTTTTCTCTCTCTCTCTCTGTAGAGGTAAAACGTTTGTGGATTTATATATATATATATAAATATATATAAATAAAGTAATTAAAAATATTAAATATAATATAGCATGTGCCTCAGATTCAGGGGACATCCTGTTGATTGTAAAGTCAGAAGTGGTGCCGCTCCCTGGCATCAGGAGATCCGTGTGCCCTGTGACCAGAGTGGGAGAGCAGGGCATCCCCCCTGGGGGGGTCCTGCTCTTGATTTGTAAAGGACTTCACCTGTTGCAGGGATGCATTGGGAAACCCCCCCCTTCCCATCAAATTCCTGCCGGCTGCCAGAATGTGATGTTAAATATGCAGATGAGGGATGTTATTCCTTGCTAGGAAAAAACAAAACAGGCTCATGATTGTGAAGAGACTCAGTGGCTTGTCCAGGGATTTTAATAGGAAAAGTCTTGGTGCCTGCACAGGGTGGTTGCAGATGTAGCTCTTGGAGCCCGTTTTGTGCAAAGGTTGCATTCAAAAGACAAAAAAAGAAGTATTTGTAAAATAGATTGTAATTTTTCCACGTTCCAGCGTAGCCTGTCGGGCCAATACAGTTGTGGTTGAAGTGCATTGTTTCAGAGCTCCTGGCTGGACGGGCAAACGGACTTGACGTAGGGCCTTAGAGGATTGTAGCAGTGCTTTACAGCATCCGTGGGTGTGATGGTCAAGAAATCCAAAGGATGGCCAAAAAAAATAAAAAAAAAAAGAGAGAAGAAGGGAAAAAAAATAATAATAAAAAAAAGGACAAAAAAAAAAGAAAAAAAGACAGCCTTCTGAAGCTATGACCTGTAGTAGCCATGTCTTGCTGGCAATTGCACAAGCGCAGCGGGACCTGCGTGTCCCTGGGGAGGGGCTGCCCGAGGTGCCCCCACCGGTGCAGGCTGCCCCCTCATCCCCCTCCATGACTTGATTGCACTAGAGCAGCTCAGTCTCAGGAAATTGCTTGTTACTTTTACTGTGTAAATAAAGCTTCCTGGTTCAATAACCCCCAGCCGGTGTCTCGCCTCTCTGTGCTGTCCCTGTGGTGGCAGGATCGGGGGTGTCGGGGACACCGCAGCCCCTCGGGTTGTGGCACCCGTTGGGGTTTGATGGGGCACAGCAGGGTGCCCCCACGTACCTCCCCTCTCCCAGAGGGTGTCTGGCTGTACCTCCTTGGCATCTCCATGGTTTCTGGGGCAGGGGTCCCAAAAATGGGTTGGGAAAGACCTTACATCAAGGTGTACATGCTGGAAATCCCAGGCTTGGGTTACGCCAGAAACAAATGGGTATTGGATGATGTTCACGTGCAGGCAGATGTGATGGTTCCCCAGCCACCCCTCCGAATGAGGGGATGTCTCTCAGGCCTCCCCTCCCCAGCCTGATGCTTGCTGCTCTTTAGCTGCAATGCAGCCAAGGAGGTAACAGCAAAATGCAAATCAACATTTAAGTGCCAGGTGGCACCTCGTGCTTTGTGTTTAAGGACAGAGATAATGGCCCACCCCTGAAAATCAAACCTAAACCCAAGCAAGGCAAGAGCCCACAGCAGGATAAGGGGACACAGGGTGTTAAATTAGTGTAGTATCTCCCCACAGCCTTTGTAAACCAGAAAGGAAAACTGCTGCATTTCCTCAAGTGAGCAACAGTTTAAAAAGTTTCATGACAGATGGCAGGATGTTTATCTGCCTGAACTTAATCAGATTGAAGTGATAGGCTTAGCGTGCCAGAACAAAAAGGAAGAATTAGAGGATAAAAAAGAAATTCACAGTGATCCGTCACAGCCCCAACGTTCGAGCAGGCATCCCTGCCAGGGCTGATGTGGCTGAACACAAGGACACCCAGGCCAGATGGGCAGGACAAGGTTTATTCCCGACAGGAAGCAGCAGTTGCTCCATGATGTGCTGCAGTGTTCCCAGATTCCACAGCCCTAACCCTGGCCGGTGCCCGACAGAGGCTGAGTGTGGCAGAGTCTCGGTTTACTGGCTTGCCAGGGGGGCAGGGGTTGTACCCCTCCCCAGATATTTTCTCCCCC